TTATCTACTTATGCGTTACTATTTATCATAATCCATATTTTCCTCTCTTTAGCATTCTTATACTTTTATATCATTATTATTGAAATTTACTTCCTACTTTTCATTGTAATTATTTAACAGATTTATTGTATTTCCCTCATGTAATATAATTCATTCTATCTTTTCTTTTCATTTCGTCAACATCACAATCAATATTATCAGCACCACCGCCGCCACCAACATCACCATATCATCGTCACCATTATCATCACATCATGTTCATCAGCCTTAGCATCACTATCATCATCACCATCACCATCACCATCCTCATGTGCTATCTACACCATAGGAAGAGCAACGTGTTCCGGCGAGTGGTGTGGTTTCTGGTATTTCTGGTGTTCGTGGTGTGGTCCGTCTACCAAATCGGCCTCGTGATAAACGACTACAACCGCTTTTCAAAAAACATCAATCGGAAGGTAATACAAATACGCTTTTTCAAAAAGTAATACAATCCCAATTTTTTTTTTTTTTTTTTTTTTTTTTTTTTTTTTGTGTGTGTGTGTGTGTGTGTGTGTGTGTGTGTGTGTGTGTGTGTGTGTGTGTGTGTGTGTGTGTGGTGGTTATGATCATTGATTTTTTGTCACGTTATCTGTGGAAATCCAAACATTCTGGATTTTTATTTACATCTTACCTTTTTTATGTCAATTTTTTTTTTTTCCTTCTCCAAATTTCTCTCTTTTTTTCTTACTTTTTTGGGGTGTGGAGGGTTACTGATCATACGAATAAGGTTTATTCACACACAGCATATTAATGTTTCTATTATGAATATACTATGATATATCTGATACTTTCTATATATATGTTATATTCAGGTCGTCGTTGAAACAAACGTTGTGTTCCCAGCGGTGACCGTGTGTAACCTAAGTCCGCTTCCCCGCTCTCCTGCACTGGCCGACCATCCCTTGTGGGCTCCGTTCATGGATGTTGAAGACTGCTATTCAGGGAAAGGTAAGTCTGATTGGAGTATGTCTCTGTCTTTAAATTCTGTAAGATGAGGAGATCATCTTTATTGTGAAATCAAGTTTATGGATATTGTAGATTCATTCAATCAATAAAACTACAGGAATTGCTAGAGTTGTTTAGATATGGACCTAATGAGTGTAGGATTGTGGTCACTTTAGTTATGGGTTATGCCTAGCGGTGCGCCATGGACAAGTAACAGCCAGAAAAAGTTTGGGAACCACTGCTCTTATATATATATATATATATATATATAATATATATATATATATATATTATATATATATATATATATTATATATAATATATCTTATACTCATATTCATTGCATTTCGTAAATTTTAATGTTATACGAAATACTAATTATATTCGGTGCGTTAACTTGGTCAGTGACACCGTGCGCGGCAAAATCAAGTGAAAAACCGACCTGACAAAACGTTTCGCGAGCACGAACATTGTCGCATCGTTTGTATACAACCGAAATGGCTGCCAACTCAAAAGTATATCTGTTTCATTTCACTTTTCTGCCAAGTCACTCGTTCGCATCAGTTTCGTCAGTTTCGAGCCCTTATAATTTCAGTCGGAAAGTAATTCATTTCTCTCTCGATATTTCTTTGAATGACCTGTTTGTTTACGTTAATCAGCTGATAGGTGCATTGCGCGGTAAAACTGGTCACAATGAGAGTTTTGTTCCAGGGCGAAACGCATCGTACAGAAAAGGGACAGGGATTGTCTGCATTTTCATTTACAGACTCTTTGCCAAGATGTGAAAGCATGGGGGACGAACGACTTAAAAGGGAAGTAAAGACAACGGAAGGAAATGGAATAAACATAATACAAAAACAAGAGGAGACTGGGAATAAGCAAGACTCTTCTGAATTGAGTCCACGCCATCCTGCAACAGGTTTAGATAATCGTGTACAGGTGAGAACTGAGTATTGTTATTTCATCTATTGATGGGGAAGGCTATGTTTGGAAAGTGGTAAAGTTTAGGGTGGTTTAAGTGATACTTTGTGGGTGGGTTGCCCATCGGACAGGGACCAATTTGTAAGATTTTTAGGGTAATCCAACTTAGATCAGCGTCCCGTTCAAGATTAAAATTAGAGAAATATTCACTTGAGGGAGACCAGCATAAATGAGCACTGGCGCTCATGTTTACAATACGGGTACATCTGTGGGTCATTGTTTCACTTTTTTTTCGCCCTTTTCCACTCTCTCCCTCTCTCTCAATCTCTCTCTCTTCTCTCCTCTCTCTCTCTCTCTCTCTCTCTCTCTCTCTCTCTCTCTCCCTCTCTCTCTCTCTCCTCTGTCTCTCTCTCTCTCTCTCTCCTCTCTCTCTCTACCCTCTCTGTCTCTCCCCCTCTCCCTCTCTTCCCCCCTCATGTCTCATGTCCCAACCAGTAATACACATCTCTCCACAAGACCACATCCAGCCCCTCCTTCCCACTAAAAAGGTCCATTGGAGCAGCGCAACCCCAGGAATGTCTGCCAGGCATGTTCA